ATTTCCTCTATCACAAGTCACTATCTCACCCTCTAAAAATCCCAAACTATACATATTACACATGCATTTTTAAATTTTATTTTGAAAATATTCAAAAAATTTAATCGTTTTTAATAATTTATACATAATCAATACTTCTAATATATAAAGATGGCGATCAAGGTTGTTGTTTCCTTCTTATCATATAGTTTCATTTCTTTGATTATATCTTTCGATAAATTATTAAGTTCAATCAAATCTATAGATGGGCGTTATTTATGTTAGAGCACTAAAAGTAGGGACCCACCCAATGAGGGCATGAGTTGGCCACGTGATTTGGGAGGCGGAACAGATGCGGTAAGTAAACATTTTTTATCACGTGACTTTCCCGTATTTCACGGACTACACGACACGTTTTGCACACGCGCTTGTTTTCTTATACGAAAAAAAACAAAAATGATTAATTATTAATTAATTAATTAAGCTGAGAGAAAAAATTATTGTTAACTGACCCCTATAATGATACCCTTAAGCAGAGAATGTGTGCAACAGCAACACACAAGAAGATAAAGAAGATTCTCCAACTCAACAATTATTATTCATTCATTAAAAAATAATTTACAAATTTAAACTAATGCTGTTATAAAATTAAACTAATGATTGATGCTTCTTCCAGTATAATATAATATACAAATGGCTACCTCTTTACTATCTGTAAATGTAATTGTCATATTCCATATGTTATCTTTGCATATATTGACTATGATTTTGAAATTCTGAGTTTTTCTTAATCGAATCAAAATATTGAAACAAATAAATTTGAAATAGAAATAGTATTTTGTAGGATTGAAAGGCCATTCATCCTTTTGGAGTGTGAAATTACCATTAGCTGTCCTTGTTTTAATTTAATTTCCATTATGATTAAGAGACAGAAAATAAAACTAATCTCACTAATTATTCAATTTAATGTTAAGTAAAAGTGTTGTATCCCAAACTCTCAAGCACTAGAGTTGGCCTATTTCCTTTGAAGAAACTATTTTTGTCGTTTTGTGAACAGCACGTGATTTGCAGTGTTGAAGTTAAACTCGTCTTCTTTGTTCAACAAAAGTTGTGGCTCTGGATATATACGGCACACTTTTGCTTTACCCCCTTTATTTTATTTTTCGTCCGTTCGCTAGTCGCATTAAAATTTAATTAATTTAATTGTGCCATATAAAGGCGATTGGGGAAAGTATTTTCTATCGAGAACTTTTTCATATTCCGAATTTGAAATCAAGACTTTGGACAACTGAGAAACATTGTTATCCAACTACACCACATTCTTTAAATTGATTTATCTTGCATATTTTAATAAATGTGTATAAAAAAATACTTATAAAAAACAAATCACATGAGTTTCACAGTATTCTGTATTTTTCGACATCAAACATAGATACCGTCTACTTTTCTTTGTCATATAGTGCTTTTTGAAAGTTAATTTGATTACATTAATTCAATATTTTAAATAAAAAATTTAGATATTCAAAACTATACGAAAAGTACTATAAATTGTACTAATTTTTTGCATATAAATATGATGAAAAAATACATCGTAAAATGTTAGTCAAAGTTTTTTTAAGTTGACACCAAAAAAACTATTACAATTAAAAGTGGATGAAGATAGTAACATAATTTTTCATCAAATATGAAGTATTGTGCTCACACAAAAAAAAAGTACAACGAGTTCAATATTTAAGAACCTTAAAATAAAAATCATTAAGATTAAATTATGAATTCATCCATCTTATACCTACACAAAAAATATGTGTATTATTAATGGTAGCTAGCACGCAAAATCGTATTCCATATAAATTTGACACTACATAAATTATATATTGGACGTATACGCTAGCTAAGAGGACTGCATGTTACCGACGTCATGATCCATCGATTAAAAATTAAAGTAAACCTATAGCTCGATTAATTGGTTATAATTAATTAATTAAAATATTTAAGTAGTTTGTTAAGTTAATTAAAGATAGGAGTGGACCAGCCATGCATGTTCTGCTATACTTTTTCTTTTTCAAAAAAGGAATTAAGATTACAAAATAAAGCATAAAGTTAATATAATATGAGTGATTACTTGGAGTAATTTAATTTAATTCATACAATTATACTACTATATGTTTAATGATTAACGAAAGACAACCTGTTCGGTTGTAGGAGTAGTGCACCTTAATGTGAACGCTTACTTTGATTATATATATTGTCGGACCTATATATGCTTTATCTTTTTTTATTTGTTTTTCATTTACTGTTCGGTATTTATATTAAAGCTCAAATAATCTAAATTTAAGTTGCGTAGTTCATTTAAGGGATAGCGTTCTCTATAAAAAAAAAATCATATTTAAAACTCGAATTTGAGATTTCTAATTAAGGAAAGAGCAGTTTTATACGTTCCGTTGGTGGTGCTTTACTTTTTCTACGTCAACCTTTATCTAATTAAAAAAACTACTTAAACCTTTAATTTTGTTATATAAATGAATGGTTGGTTTAATTGATTATATTTAATGCTTTGTCCTTTCATGGCTAGACAGGAAAAACTTTTCTTTTTATGTGAAAACATAAAAGTAAATGAAGGAGAGGGTAACACATTGAAAAAAATATTATTGTACTTCAAAAATAATAAATAAAAGTAAAAAAAATAATATTTTTAGCATAGTGAACGAGTAAATATAAATATATTAATACTTTATGTGTGTAAATTGCATCCCAATTGTATCAACTAAAAGTTTATTCTATCAAAAAAGCTTTAATTTTTTCCTGTTTTTTCTTCTATCTTCATTCATAGAGGAGTCTAAATAAAGGTACTTTAATATTATGCATCAAGTATTTCACATTTAGCAAAGATTTTGGGAAAGTCATACCTCAAGAAGATGCAATTAACGTAGGCAACTAAAAAATTCAAGAATTTATTACTTCAAGCTCTATGCTTTCATGTGATTTTTCTCATTCGTCGAACGTACGATTTTTGCCTCTCTAATTTTTTTCTTCCAAATTTATTGGCATAATAATGTTCTACTAATAAATAGTAGCAAGGTTAAACACCATTTTCATAGCTTTGATTGCGACAATATGGGGTGTCAAAATATAAAGTAGAAAAGTATATGTTACTGTACTAAACCTTCTGTTTGTGTAAAATAGTGTCAACACTTGTATATATATTCTTTAAATCAAACTTTGACCTATATATACAATGTAATTATTCCGATAAAGTTATGAGAAAATAAAAAAATAATATAAAAATATTGATTGCGTGACAAAAAGAAACCTAAGGAATAACAAATATTGGTTGGGGGCACATGCCTCCGGGGTAGGGGAGGCAACCCCCGCGTTATCCGGTTCACACAACCTAAGTGAAATTTTGTAGCTTTCACGTGATCCTTTTTTTTTACCCTCTTTATCACCGCATAGTGTTCCTAGTTCAATTTGGTTCTAACTTTTTTGACAAGTTATCCTAAGTAACTTTATTTAATGTAGAAGAATGCAAAAACTCAAGTAAGTTAATTAAGAAGTTATATTTTGATTCAACTTTTTAAATATTTACATTACCAAATTAAAATAAAATATTAATTTGTATTTAAAATTTAATGCGAGACCAAATGCAATTTAAGAACTGTAATTAGATATAGTATGCCGGTTTCTTTGCTCCACCACGTTAAATCTCTTTATCTTTATCTAACAAATTTTGACAATATTTTAATAGTAAGTGCAACTCTTACAATTGGATAACAGGTTGGGATCTGTGCACTAATCATAATCATTAATCTATTTAATTAGTGTGGGGTCATTAATGCCAACTCTTAACTCTTGTAATGTGGATTGCGCATGTCGAGGTCACGTGACATGCCATCACACATGTAGCATTCAATTGTATGGGTTGAAACCCGGGTTTTGAATTGTATCTAAAGGTGACACATGATAGTTAGAATCTAATCAAATTTATCTTGATTTGACCTTGAGTCGTGTCCGGTAAGGCTACCTTGTAATTGAGTCGTATATATCTAGTTTCGGTGCAATGAGACCAAAATTGAAGCTTATCAATAGTCAATCGGGATAAGTTTCGTCTTTAGCCGATTCAGATAATCTTCATCTATGGTTTCTGTTGCACAATTATAAACGCAAATTCTCAAGTCTCTACTTTTTTAATAACATTACTAAACAATTACGCCGGAAAATACTCAATAAGAATTACTCTACCTTTTTATCTTACTTTTTCTACCAAGTTACCTAGCATCAAAGATATATATATATATAATAGTTATAGTTTTAATTAATTATAGTCGTGATTAATATTTAGTGATAATTAAATATACTGGAGTTTTGAGTTTGCATAATTCGTACATTTGTATAATTTAGAATTTGTATAAGTTTTGTATAATATAATTTGTATAACTATTTAAAATTCAGATGTTTGAGTTTGTATAAATTTGCTATTTGGAATTTATATAAAAATAACTTATACAAACAAATAGATTCATCACAACAATTAGCTTGCCCCCACTTGTACCTTTCCACTACTGAATCCAACGCCGTCAGTCCGCCGCATTGACGTTACTGTTACCTAAACGACGTTAATTATAACGGAGTTAGTATTCGTAACAGACAACGACAACGAACCTTTAAAACATCTCTCACCAAAGACGAACAGAGAGAATCCTCTGATCTGTGAGACCCATTTTCTTTTACTCTTCTTTTTTTTCATATTTAAGGAAGCAACCAATCGAGGCTGGTGTTTGTTCATCGTTTGCGTTAATCAAGACGAAGCCCTACCATTAATCCTTCAAAAAATTCACTGTTTCGATCAACTTATCATTACGCAGTTCTGTTTTCATTTTTTACAACGAAATCTAAGGAGAATTATGCATTTTACACCACCAAATCATATTACAAGTACGTGTTTTCTTCCTTAATTATTCGGTGTTCCATACGTTTTTCCTTTCATAATTCAGTTGAATTTTGATTCGCAGATTTGGTGGAATAAACCTGCATCATCCGTGTTTTTTCAAAGAGGATTGTTATTAACAATTTTATTAGTTTGAGACTGAGACGTACTTAGTTGAAAAAAGGACGGTTTCTGACGTGACTCAAATTCTCTGTTGGAGGCAGATCTGCTTGGAACTAGAAGAGGTTTGGGTTTGAAGTTGTTAAATTACGCAACAACTTTTCGAAATTCAGTTGAATCCTGCTGCATTTTAGTAGCTTTTGTTTATTCGAAACACAGAATTCTGATTTGAATGGAGTTACCTCAATCCAGGCCTTTTGGAACCGAAGGTAGTCGTTAAGCTTATTTGGTTTATGCCAAAAACAATCTGAATTTTGAATATATAATCTTATACATGAAGGAAAAAAGTCGCTACTGGTCTGATTTTAGATTTCCATGTGTAAATTTTTTTGTTTGGTAGGGAGGAAGACGACGCATGATTTTCTTTCACTATATTCACCTATTGAACAAGATCCAAGACCTCCACAAGGTAAAAATGCAAGGATTTTTCTTTTCCGATCGAAAAGTCATATTAGAAAAAAAAACTTTTGGTTGTTCGTGTTTTATTGATTCTGTTTGGTGTGCATGTGTTTGTTGTCATTGTATCTTAACTTCGTTTTACCTCGCACATTTATGCAATTCTGCTATACTGTTTAAAAGTAGTACTCCCTTCGTCTCTATTTATTTTTCCTATTTTAATTGACACAAAATTTAAGAAAGTAATTGAAGTTTTGAATATTGAGATCTTAAATTAAAGATTTGTCAAATGTATAACCACGAGTTGCAATTACTACACCCGTGACCCTAATGCTGATTGTTACATGCGTGGACCTGGACTATCAGCTTTGGTGGGCCTTGACTGAGATTGGCTGACATTGCTGAATCAGGTATATTGAATGCTCCGGCCCTTCTCTACGATGTAGCAAGCTGATGAAATGAATAGGTTTTAGCTTCTTTTCTTTTTTTTAAAAAGAAAGAAAGAAGAACAGATGTAGGAAGTTGAGGCTTTAGATAGAATTGTATTGATTGAAGACCAAACCATGACAAAATTGTGGAATTCCTTTTCGATGTTTGGTTACAAAAGGAGGAAAATGACTTCCCCACTCTGTCACTCATAAGCATAAGTCATTTTTATTTTTGTTAAATTATATATTCAAATATTATTGTTTTTAATGATTAAAATGCAATATTATAAGAAAAGTGCCTCTTTTAAGTAATTTTCTTTTATAAGGTAGTGGAGTGTTGTCTAGTTTTTCGTGTAAGTATTATATTTAGTACATGTTGTTTCCTTTGCTTCTGTTATTGAATTATTTGATGTTGCTACTGAGCTGCATACATCCTATCCTCAGACTCCACTTGTGAGATTATGGTTGGTATGTTGTTGTCGTTGTTTGCCACCTAACTTTCCGTTGTTTTTCTGGTCTTTTGTGACATTAATTCAAGGACTATGTCTGTTGTTCAATTTAAAGCTTGAAATATACTGGGATTAGAAAGAAACAAATAGGAAAAAAGGAAAGATAGAAAAATAGTGGGCCGCTCTTGCCAGATTCTACTTCCCTTTTGATTTGCCTACTCAAGGAGAAGGACTTGTTATCTTTCATCATTGTGCATGATTTTTACTTGGATAATTATGCCTTCTAGTGCCTTATTTGATTCTCATTTGCCATGGCTGTCATGCAGGTGGCCACCTAAAAACTCATGATTTCTTTCAACCTCTAGAACAAGCAAGGAAGACAGTTGGGAAAGAAGAAAATAAAATTGAGGTAGAGGCTATAGAAAAGCCGCCTCCATCAGCAGAACATATTCTTCCTGGTGGCATTGGCACATATAGCATTTCTTATTCACAGCAAAGAGTTCCAAAGCCAGAAGCAAACACATTTGCTGTCACACAAACTAGCAGTACAGATAGAGACGATAGAAACTCAAACTGCAGTTCTTACTCGGGAAGTGGTTTGGCACTATGGAATGAATCTGCCATGAAAAAGGGAAAGACTGGGAAGTATAACCTCGCTGGAGATAGACATGTCATAAGAGGTATATTTTCATTTCTTGGTTTCTTTATACTCCGCGTTTTTCTTTAATGTTAAACTTTGTGAATGGCAATCATCTTCCAGATAAGAGTCCCATGCTAACAATCATTTCTGAAGGACAACTTTAAATGATCTCCTCTTTAGTTCCATCAATATCACTATAGTATTATTATCCAAAGAGAGAAGCCTGAAGACTTCAGCTCCAGTTAACATTTGTTATGTGCTTGGCAGAAGCAGGTTTAAACATTGGAGGAGGGAAACCTACGACATCATTAGAACGGCAATCACAATTGTCTTCAAATCATAATCATAACACTGCAACCTTGAGCTCACACTCATCTCCTCAGTCAGTGACTTGCTTCCATTCATAAGAATGCTTCTTATTTGTCTTGATGTTTTGTGCTTATAATTCCTGTTCTAACTATTCAAAATACAATGCAGGCAACCATCAGCTATGGAGAATCAGAGTTTCATACATATGATAACATCGGCTAAGAATGCACAGGAAGATGACGATGACGAAGAAGAAGAATTTGTTGTTAAGAAAGAGTCACCTTCACCATCCAGAGGTTTGTCTTGCATAAGTCTGATACTTGCGTTTCTCAGTACTCTGAATCTGTCATTTATAACAGAAGGACAACTACTTGTATAGGCAATTTATCAGTAAAAGTCGATGGGAAAAGCAGTGATCAGAAGCCAAATACTCCACGCTCGAAGCACTCAGCAACAGAGCAAAGAAGAAGAAGCAAGATCAATGACAGGCATGTTTACAACCCTAATTTAGAGTTTTGAGAAAATAAAAGGAAAAGTTTTTGGCATAGTGACTATATTTTGTGGGAAGGGGAATGTTAGTATGATCTGACTTCCAAGCATTTATGCATTGACTAGCACACTCTTCACTCGGTTTTTTCTAGCCTCTTACTTGAGGCAGAAGCTATCTCTGTCTAGATATCATGTGTTAGTTGGAACATTTTAATTCCTTTGCTGAACAATTACTAGTCTTGGTTCTGTCAATCTTTTACCGTGTAACCGGACTTATGAACAGTCGAATAACATGATTGTCAATGAAAATTGAACCATTACCTTTGGAACTTTTTAATCAGATTTCTGAAGTTGAGAGAGACCATCCCTCACAGTGACCAGAAGAGAGATAAAGCATCATTCTTGCTGGAGGTACTTGAATGTCGTATCTGGTTATGTACTCTGTTTATCATATAAACTGTATACCGAATAAGTAAATTCTTTTTTGTAGGTTATTGAATATATTCAATTCCTACAAGAGAAAGTGCACAAATATGAGGGATCCTATCAAGGTTTGGAGAATCAACCTTCAACATTACCTTGGGTAATTTCTTGGTCTTTCTCATTGCTTTGTCTACTTTCTTTAGATCTTTAGTCTTATCTATCGTTGTTTTGAAATGCCTTCGGACTTGTATCTTCATATTAGTTAGGGCAAACTACTCAAAATGTTATCTAATACTGTACATTAAGATGTAGGAGTTGGTCAACTACTGACAAATAATTAAGAGTCTAAGTAGGATCTGCGTTGTTTAGTTTGCACATGCTAGATGATTGGAGAGATGTATTTGGAATATTACCTTGCTTGTGTGTACAACACAATCTATCTGGCTTTTGGAGTAAATAAGGTACCTTATGGGATTTGACTTTGAAGTATGGTGGTTGAAGTTCTCTACTTGCCTACTGTATATACAGTGATAATGTATACAATCGAAAGGACAGGATATATTTTCTTTTGATCTGTAGATAGCAGCATCCATCTAAGATGCCTATTCTCTTAGTGCATTCAACAACACAATTAGTGACTATTCTTATTTCATGAAAGCAGAATAAGTGTCACAGTATGGCTCAAGGTTTCATTGATCATTCTCAAGGCACAAACAGTGCGTCTAGTCATGCACTTATTGCTGCAAAGTTTGACGAGAACAAAACTGGAATCTCTGCTACAGGACCTGTCAATGAACAGACACTGGAGCCAAACAGAACTTCCAGTGTGAAAGAAAGCAGTTTTTTGTCTGAATTAACAAACAGGGCCGCAACACTTTGTATGCAACCAAACACATTCCCATTTGATGAAAATATTAGCATAGCATCGCTGCAGTCAATAGTGGCACCTGATACTGGCTCGTTGGAATTGAAATCTCAGCCTCAATTTCCATCAAGCAGATCGAATATGACTAATTATGCTGTTACAAATGACAAGCTAAAAGGGCAAGAGGTTTCTACAGAAAGTGGTACAATCAGTGTCTCCAGTGTCTATTCTCAAAGGTAAGAATTCTCTGGTCTGTGTTGTTCTAGCTCATGCATACTGATAATTTTGTTCTTTGTTTAATCCCTCTACTACACATAATTCTGCACTCTAATTAAAACCTATCATCATCTTCTGAATATTGTATTATCTGTGCTTTCCTTTCCATTGGATATTCTCACTTTAGTTGAGACTTGACTTAGAGTATATGTTGGTGTTTGGCAGGTTGATGAACACACTGAAACAAGCATTGCAGAGTTCTGGAGTAGATTTGTCACAAGCCAACATGTCAGTGCAAATTGATCTCGCGAAAAGAGCCAATGATAGATCAAATGCTTCAACGTCCAATTTTAAGGTACCCGGGATTCTTTTAATTCCAGTAATTTTCTAGTGCTTAAATAGAAGTAACAACCTTAACTTTGACACAATTCCCAGGGTGACAACATTTCCTCAAGAAATCAACCAACTCCACAATTCACTGATACAAACACAAGAGAGGAGTCTATCCATGCCTTCAAACGGCTCAAAACAAGTTAAAAGCAAATTTAACACACAAGTATTCTTTTGCAATTGATTCAACTAAAAAAATTCCTTTCCCTTCTTTGTTCTGAAGGGATATTCATGTATACATCTGGTATAGAAAATCTCCCCTAATCAGATCATAAGCTACTGTAAATGTAATTCATTTTCTTTTCCTTTTCGATTGTTTGGCTGCACAGAATTCTTCTGACTAAAGTTCGGTATTTATTACATGTAGTGAACTATCAAGAAATCATGTATCACTATTGAGGCTTCCATGCTCATGTTGAGAAGCCGCTTTTTAATATAAGGCTTCCATTTATTTCATCTGAAGTGTCTTGTAGAGTAGCTTTATATATGGCCTATCCATGTAATGTAAAGTATTTAGATTAGTGTAATCATTTCTTTTTTTTCGTTTTATCTTTTATTTTTGTAGCTATTGACTTGCACCAGAGAAAGGGGTGGCTACTGTTGTTCGTATGTCCATATATTCTGTGTTTACATCCGACCAAATGAATACATGACATGTATCTTATATTTTCACATTTTACTCTTATCCATGGTTAAAGAATAGAGCAACTTTCACATATAGCAAACATAAAAATCATATTTGTATGTTATAGTTATAGTTTGCATAATTGCGCTCCATAGCAAACATAAATATGTATATTTTGTTATACATATACAAAGAAAGCAGTTGTATAATTTGCTATACATATACAAAGAAAGCATTTGTATAATTTGTTATACATATACAAAAGAAAACAGTTGTATAATCTGTTTCGGTATACATATACAAAAGATCAATTGTATAATATGTGTTTGTATAAAGCGAGAAAGAGAGAAAGACAAAAGAAAACTAAGTAGAGGAAGATTGTATTTGTATAATCATAAATGTATAGGACGAAAATATATGCATTTGTATTTATATATACAATTTTCTCTCGCTTTATACAAACACAAACGCAATGTATACATTTGTGTTTGTATAAAGTGAGAGATGCAAGTGAGAGTGGCGAACGAGATCTGGGAGAGTGGTGAGTGAGATCTGGGAGAGGGGAGAGAGGGGAACGAAAATATATGTATATATATAATTTTCTCTCGTTTTATACAAACACAAACGCATTTTATACATTTGTGTTTGTATAAAAGCGAGAGAGGCGAGCGAGACTGCCACCAAAACGAGAGAGGCGAGCGAGGTTCCACCAGGGAGAGAGGCAAAAATAGCAATAGTTTGCTATAGAGTACAATTAAATCAAACTATGTTTATAGCATTTAATTTGAATTAATAGTTTGCTATTATATACAATTTTCCCTAAAGAATATGCAATTTTCATCAGTTGTCCTTTTTTTTGGAACATTTGTTGAGAACAATGATCCACTTTTTATTTTTCTTGTAACCTAAAGAACCTTTTAAGTCATGGTCTAAAGATCATTATTGATCAAATTGAAGATCTTATGAGAAAATTAGACTACGGTTTAAAATTTTATAAGTTATTACATACGTTAGATGATAATCTAATGTTACATATGTAAGATAGGTAAATAAAGATGGTCATGGAGTCTTATCATTGATTATATTTCCACAGTTGTTACAAAATTGGTCAAAAACTAAATGATGGCTTAAAAAGGATCATCTGTGTTAATCATCAGCGCAATACATCTATTTAACTTGTTCTTTTCAGCCCAATATAAGAAAGCCCAATTTTCTAGTCCAAGTTATAATATTAAGTCCAACATTTATTTCTGCTTGCCAATTCCCTTCTCCAAATGCTAATAAATGATAACAATAGTAAGATATATGGAAAAAACTATTTTTCTTTTAAAGATGTAAAATAGGGTGGGTTCCTTAAATTTATATTGATTTATTCTTCCCCAAATTGGCTTAATTCATTCTTAGTGGGCAAAGCAACCATTTCTATCAAATAATATGTACATAATTAATACGAAAACATCATTATCATGTTGGGTGATGACTCTTTATCAATTATACTTTGTTTCCTTGTGAGGTAATTAGAGTCTCGAGATAATTACCTCAAATATCTTCAATTGATTTAATTTACAAATAGTAATATATATATAACCTATGACAAATTTAGAAGATCAAAATGTGCAAGAATATATTTCAGAGACCATTTAAACCTTGCTTAATACTTTCTTTGTTCCTAATTACTTGTCCACTTTTGAATTGATACACCTATTAAGAAAATAATGATTAACATAGTGAGTTTATCATTTTACCCTATTAATTATGAAGTGATGAATTAAAAATTTAAGATTTTCAAAAAGTTCTACATTTTTTAAAGTAATTAATTGAGGGTATAATAAGTTAAAAAAATTGTCTTCTCTTGATTTGTCAAAATGGACAAATAATTAGAGACAACTAAAAAAGGAAAAATAAATAAGTAATTAGGGACAGAAGGAGTAATGTCTCATTTTTTGCTTTTTATCATTTTCTCGTTATTTTGCCTTCTCACTTTCTCTTATATTCTGAATTGAAAAATGAAATAATTGCAGCTATAAATGTAAGGGTGTATGTATCTAGAAGTGGAGAAACCTAGATTCGTGCTTGCATTGATTGATAAGTAGACTCAAACATAAAGAGTTGAATGTACTAAGCAAGTGGCAATTAATTAGTCCGTTTTATTTTATTTATTCATTTAGCAAAATCAGAAAAATTTAATTTTTTTCTTATTATTCTTATAATTAAATAAATACATAAAGTATTATTTATATTTTAAAGCATAATTAGTAAAATATATTTTTGATAAATATTTTTTAAGAAGAAAATGAAGCAGAGTGAGTATGAAGGAAAATGTAAATCCTTTTCATCATCAATTAAGATTCCTACCTCGAGGACAGCTTTTTTCTTGGATCCTTCAATAATGATAAGATTAATAACACTTAAATAATTGTCATCTCTTTCTTGGGATTGCCTTCGATTTTTAAAGTACGAGAATTTCGAGGAAGATCTCAATAATTAATCTCTATCCGTTGTTATTTATATGTTGTCCTTATTCAAAATAAATGAGTTTTAATACCCTCTTTATCCACTTTTAATTGTCATGGTTTTCTTTTATAAAGTTAAACGATAATAACGTTAACTAACATTTTATAATGTATTTTTCATATATTGATATGCAAAAAATTGCAATCTATAGTACTTTTCGTATAGATTTTGAATATCTAAATTTTTTGTTTAAAATATCGAATTAATGTAATCTAATTTAACTTTGAAAATTAGTTAAATTGACTTTTGAAAAACTAACATGACAATTAATACTCCCTTCATTCCATATTAATTGAATTTTTGAGGTGTTTCACATCCTTTAAGAAAAGTAGATTAAGACATAAATTGAACATAGTTTTCCATTTTTACCCTTATTAATTATTGTCAAATTTATTGAAGTCATCACATTGAAAATCCAAATGAAGGGTAAAATTGGAAGAACACTCTAAAAATATTCTTGAAAACTGAACAATTAAATTAATTTGAAAAATGAAAAATGCCGCAAAAATTCAATTAATATGGAATGGAGGGAGTAATGAACAGATGGAGTACTCATTTGTCATTTCACAAAATCAATCCATAAATTACATTATTCTTTCTATTTTACCTTTGAAAGTTATGGGTCTTGAAAATGTACATTTCCCAAGATAGAAAAACTAAGTAATTAATCCATGTTCATTTATTGAAAATTTGATTTAAAAAATACTAAATAAAGGTACTCTATAATGATAAACTTATTGAGTTTCTTAAGGAGCGTAAAACCTAAAATAAAACAGAGAGGGAGTACGACCATATATGACCTTTTAAACTTCTATTATCGTCGTTTCTCTTATTATTTTTTTAATCCTTTGTGTTCAACCGATATTAATTGGGGGGATTAAATTTTGATTATGCTAATGTATTTACTTTATGTCTAATGTACTTTAAGATTTTCTTCAGTCCTGTTAGGTAATTTTACGTTAATAGAATATTTATAAAACTTTTAGTGCTAGAGAAATTAATAAATGATGATGAAGGACATGGCAGTAAAAGTTTATGTAACTTATTACTTTAAATTATTTTTGGGAATTATATTTATTGTTGTTGTGAAAAAAAAGAAGAAGAATTGAATTCACAAAATTCGTCTTCTCACTCTTTGGCATTTGAAATTTGGTTGAATAGAGCCACTGCCAATTGGAAATTAAGCAAATAATGACCTTTTTAATAATCAGCACTAATTAAAGCATTAGTGTTTGAAGGAATATTTAAGTGCTAACATCAGGATTATTAATAATAATTTAGTGGAGATTAAGTACTGAAAGTGGCTTTGCTTTGGTGTTTACGAATTAGGGCCCTCTCAAATATTAAAATTATATGTACCTCTTTTTTATTATTATTATTATATGGATACTGAATACTCTATTTTTGTTTTTCTTCAAGAAAACTCTATCTTCCACTCTACATGTTCAATTATTAATCATAATGATTACTCATTTGACGACAATTATTAAAAGAGGAAAAGGAAAAAAAACAAACGTCTTTTTATCTGGTTGCCTTTTGTTTTCTTTCTTCCTTTTTTCTTTTAATGTGTATTGAATATGTTCAATGCCAATGAGTTGTAAAGTACTTTTATTAAAATAATTGCAATTTTATTTCAGCCATAAACTTAAACAGTCTACTTTTAAGGTTAAAATAATTGCACTCCTATTAAAATCATTCGAGCTTTCTAGTGTCTGAATCAATTTGTACATATTATTTCTATTGTGTCAAGTATTTATTATCTCCCACAAGTATATGAATTGTGTAACTCTTTCTAAATGAGACTCTATCCACTAAACGCAAGCATCATATCGTCCTAAGATAGCAAAACCAATGAGAGAATAGAGTGAATGACATTGACTATCGTTAAATATAGCAACATATCAGTATAGTTCCACAAGTGGAGTCTGGAGAGTAGTCTGTAGGTAGAAAAAGAGTGAAGGAGCCTAAGTGACTCAACTAGTGTGGTATTGAGTGGAACTTTAAATTTGACAAATCCAAAAGTTCTGGCAAAACAAATCTATATTGTACCCTTCTGTGTATACTGCCATTGATAATGTATCCTTGCAATGGCAGGACAGTTTTCTATACATGTATTCAATTATTGAGTTTCTGAAGGAAAAAAAAGGAACATTTTAATATAAACCTTTTCCAAATGCTTCCGAGGATTTCAAGTGCATCGCCCCTTTACTGCACCAGTCGCCTCAGAAGCAAAATGCAGCACAATGTTTTCGAGTGTTGACAAGTATGTCCTCCAAATATGTCAGTGCGCGGAAGTACTTTTCTATAATGCAATGTTACCACCATCATAATTTACATGCTGCTTGAAGTTAGTTCATCCTCATAAGATGGTTCTAAGCACTCCCATGGGTTGGAGTAAAAATAATCCTCCTCTTTAGGTCTGTCTTGAATGACCAATCTCTTTGTTGGGTTGCCCATACGTTCAGCGTGAGCTTCCTTAACAGCGGTAGAGAACTCATCCCATGTCAATGATCCAGCATTATGTTGGTCTATTAAATCCACCAGATGCTTTCTGTCTAACAAGATAGTTTTCTTGTATCCAAGATATCTGTGTGGGGAACAGTGGACATTCAGATTAAATGAATATTGTACAAAAACCACCAAACCAGTGTACCCTATGTGTAATGTGCATACATAATGAGTGATTAACTGCATATAGAAAGAATGTGAGGTATGACACCGCAGGAAATTCTTTCATGGCTCTTAAAATTTTGCAAATTAAATTTCTAGAAGCAAGTAAAGTAACAACTATTTAGAATATGAAGTCGCTGTTTCAATATGCTACCATGATTTATCAAAAGAGAGTACCTGCGATGTCCTTCAACAACTTTGGCCATGTTTCCATCATATGTAGGAACAAAGATATCGCTCTCCAAGGAAACAAGATAATCTAATGCTGCCATTTGGGAGGAGTGATTTTGAAAGAACCTCAGCTCAGAGGACTCGAGTAGTGTCTCCTTCCTTACCTATTAGAAAATAAAGCCGGTGCAAATGGTGAGTCTGCAATATTCAGCCAGCATATTCAGAAGCTTAAGAATTAACTAGAACTTTCTAACTACCAAATTAGGATAAGCTGCAGCAAGACTAGCCATTCTCCTTTCTCCACCATAAATCTCTCCAGCCGCAATGTAAACTTGAATACTAGGATCAATGTCCAATGCCCTTAAAGTAAGAGCAGTTTCCTCAGGGGTCAAAGGACACAGACCATCTCTTCTTTTCAAATCTGAATTTATAATTTTTTCTTTCCACCATGGATAAGCATATCTACAGGAAAAAAATGTTAATTAATCAGCCAATGAACGAAGGATGGTTAAAGCCACCAATGAATACAAAGTTTTAACTTCACCTCATTCTTGTCAACTCTTCCACCTCCTCCTGCTTGCATCCCTGAGTACAGCCAGAGAAAGCTAACATATCCATTTCGTATCTCAGGTGCAGAACCATAAATGGACCCTCTTGCCTAAGTATTCTGACAACCTTTCTACCCAACTCTTCAATTTGAGGGGTGAATTTCAGTGCACCAAAATTAACTCTGCATCGTAGCTTTTGAATTTCCATAGGTTGTCCATTATTGGCAAGCCGAGCATCAGTCCTGTTCAAATGAACTACTTTATACTGCTGAATTAAGGGAAGAATCTGTATTCAAAAAATGATCATCATTACACTGGAGAAGGATGCGAGAGTTAATAGCAATAACAAAATACCATTTAGCAAAAAACCACAAACCTGATTATGGTAGTAGGAAATGTCAGACCAACTAATAGGAGCCATAGTATGAGTCACTCCTAACTCTACCCTCCTCTTTAGTCTTGGAGGTAGCTCCTTCAATATTCGAACTTCATCTCTCAAGGACATTATGAAGTGATCAACATCAAATATGTCTTGAAATTCACTGCACATAAAAAACTTTGTTAATACAAATCGCCATCTTTTCTTTCTTAAAAAAGAACTCGGTAATTTGAAAGAGAAAAATCAAGATAATTGAGTGGACACACCTCGGATCAGCCCAAAAGGAGGTTTTATCCAGCTCGGGAACAATAAGAGTCACATTCAAATATCTTGCTATAGCAACCATATCACATATCTGCAACAAGGACAAAGGGGAAACACGAGTGACAAAATCATCTCACAAGTCAAATTCACAACAGTTGTCTAAATTAATTACATTTGTATGTGGTATGTACTGATTGATCTAAACAAGCTACTAACCGCTGACCGCATTTGATTAAGCCCGCCATTGCATGAAACCATGAGGTAACCATTATTCCTGTAAACCCCTGATTCACCCAAATAATCATAACATCAGTCAGTCTGACAGACTCTTAAAATGAAGTCAATAGCTCTAAATTCAACGAGGAACTTCCAATATTGTAGGTCAGGAAACAGATAACCATGAAGATAGCTGCACAACAATTTTGTTTTAGAATTAGGGTCACTAAAAGTTGGATTAACTTGAATTAGACCATTTAGTGTATGATGATTTTAACTAAAATACCAAGCCAACAACTCAACCAATGAAACTACTGTCTACAAAAGCATACAGATTATAATTAACACAATAGTACAATAACATAGTGATATGTGAATCTTCCTTCTATGTCAAGCCCTCCAACTACAATATCCATAAATGGCATTAAGCTACACTCATTAATAATTTCATATTCCCACTAAAAAGACTCCATTTTGATGTTTCCTATTATCCTATGACACAACAAGCACCATGATCTCTAAGTTGTCAACCAAAGTAGGTGAAAAAACAAGTCAGCAGGCACTAACATGGACATGAAAAAGAATAAAGGCACACACACGCCTGCGAAAAATCTTATACTTACTCTTTGGTGGAAGAACTCTGGCAGAGACCTCAGTCGACGATTTAACAGCCAGTACTGCAGCTGATTCGTGAGAAGGACAAGGGGGCCATCCTTTTAAAACTCTAGGACCCCAAGTCTCTCCCAGTATCGTTAATTGAACTAAGCAAATCCATATAAGCACTGATGTTGTGATCCTTATCATCCATAACTTCATTCTAGACTTGGATGACATAGAACTTTTTAGTTTTTCCAAACGACTTTCTGCTAAAGCTGTTACTTTTAGCCCCATTATGCCCAAATTCCTCCCACCCCTTGGGATTAACTACTTTCTCAGCACATTTCCCCAAAAAACTACTATTCAACTCACAAGTTGTATTTCTTATTTGTTTTCCTCAATTCACTCATCACACACAATCAATATACCCAAAAAAAAGTCACTTTTTTGGGTAATGTAGGATCCAAAGAAATCAAAATCCTACTTTTTTTGATACCCAGAAATGCTTTTATAAAAAAGTTGAAGAAAGAAGACAAGGAGTTACAAAAATGTAGAAATCCGAACGTCAATGAGAAAATTTCAGATTTTTCTCTTTCACAAACTTGAGCAAAATTTGGATTCTGAAACCTTCCAAAGACGATTATTTCGATGAAGAGAAGCAAAATCCCTAACTCTTTCGCACCTCACGAGTAAATTCTACAAAATGCGGCAATCTTTAACTGATCACGGAAGCGAATCCCAATAATTTTGAACTTTTTAAAAGAGGAGAAATCAATAAAATACACTGAATAGCAATGAATGTGGAATGCGTAGGATATCTAGAGGAGTTGGTGTCTGGACGGCGGTGATGTTGCCGGAATGTTGGAAAGCCGGTGACCGGTGACCTGTGTGAAGAGGGAAAAAAGAAATTTGAGGAGAAAGGGAAAAAAAAGAGAGAAATGAATATACAATTGGGTCGGTTTATGCTGAGTGAAGCGGTCATAATATATGGATCGGGTTTAACCCTTGGAGAGTGGGGTAGTTTTGACATGCCAAAAGTGATTTTTTATGTGGATATTGATGTTTATTATGGTTAATAAATGATAAAATTAATATTAAAATGTGTATAAACTGCAGCTAAGTACTCCCTCAGTTCAGTACAACGATAGTTGTCCACTATTGACTTGACATTAATGGCAGAGTCATAATTTATAATAAGGAGTTCAAAATCTGAATAAATAAACACACGAAATAGTTGAAGGGGGTTCGACATCTACTATATATACCTAAAAATTATTTTAACTATGTATAAATAATCTAATTTTTCACCGAAAGAAGTTCGGATGAACCCCTAACTATAAGGTGGTTCCGCCACTGCTTGACATACTCCTTAAAAAACAATAAATAATAAGGCTAATATTACTATAGTATCCTTTGACTTTATTAAATATAATGCTTTGAAAAATGTGTCAGATGATAAATAATACTCTATTTGTCCACTTTTAATTGTCATGTTGCGTTTTTCAACAGTCAATTTGACTAATTTTCAAAATTAAATTAGATTACATTAATTCGATATTTTAAACAAGAAATTTAGATATTCAAAAACTATACGAAAAATTCTATAAATTCCAATTTTATGTATATCAATATGATGAAAAAATACATCGTAAAATGTTAGTCAAAGTTATAATCATTTGACTCTAAAAAAAGAAACTATGACAATTAAAAGTGGACGGATGTAGTATTTAATAGCAAAGGTAAAATAGACATAAAAAGGTAAAATATCTCTTAATTTTTTAAATTAAACAAATATTATTGAACAATTATTTTTAATATAGTGAACAACTATTATTGAACGGATAGAGTATTAATAAGCACTCTACATACAAGAAGAGTGGACGAATTGGTATAGTAGAATCGTAAATGGTCTCCCAAATGTGATTTTTGATTCGATATCCTCTGCATAAAATCTTTTTTATTTGTGCTTGTGAAGTTAGGCATATCTAGCATGTTTTCTCTATCTTGTTTAGCTTTTATTGAAGTTTAATTAGTGCATATTCGAAAGATAGTGATTACAAGTTTTCTCGTTAAAATAAAGTATTTTATCTATTTTAATTTACGTGTTTAAGTTATATTTGAAGAGTTCAAATATATTTTTTTAGATATAGCGTTTGGTTAGATTGTATTATTCTCCGTCATTATATAATTTCACACATTAACAATAAGCATCTTACATGACATAATACAAATCAGTTTGAGTATATCCTACATAAATTGCCATGTAAGACACATTTACTTATTCTTTGTATGTAATTAAATATATTTGTGCACGACTAAAATTAAAAGACATACATAAATATTAGCTAAAGTCAAATTAAAAAACACGTTTATACATAACGTCTTTCTTAAAATACCACATTCCCCTCATGTTTAAGATCTGTGCTTCTTTTTCCACTTTAGTGTGTGCAATAATCAACAAATGAGAATTATCTTGTTTTTGGTTAGTGATTTCCATTGTCATCCCAATCCTGAATATAATTCAAACTTTAGACAGTTTTAATCTTTTGTTACTACAACAAAGTTTGAACTTTTGATTTTTATCCATAAAAAGTAAAATCGATTCATGTTTATCTTCTCTTTTTTGGGGTTATAAGTTAAATTCTAACTTGTAGGAGTAGTTTTTTTCTAGGGAAGAAATAAAAAAGAAGAAACATTTTTTAAAAGAAAAACACAAATTTAATGTCGAAAATGAATAAGAAATGCAAGCCATGTAATTTGTTAATCCATGCTGGCCCATATATTTATTAGTATTAAATAATTAATTAAGTTGAACAGTGAGAGGTATTCAAAATCAAAATAATTGTTGGTTACACGTGGCAGGGTGAGATGATAGTAGAACAACCTCCGTATCGCTCAAATATTCTATTGTCGACAGCCACCGACGATATCTAGCCTACCTATTTAACAAAACAAACTTTGTAAGCTAAAATGTACTACCCCTAAGCATCAATTATTTCGAAACATCTAAAATTATTAGGCTACAATACTTTATTCTGTCAAAAATATTCAAAATATGTTATTTAATCACTTTATATATCATTTTACTTATATATACGATATTATTTTTCGACGAAGAGTGTAATATAGCTACGAATCTGACAGTATCTTGGATAATCAAGAATATATGAAGATTGATGATTTTTTTCTTTAAAACAGATGTCAACATTTTATGTTATGTTAGCTCATGATGAAACAATTTTTTTTTATTTTATTTATAATTTAATAGACATCAGAATGATAGTTGACTCTGATTAAATTATAATATAAGTAATGTTTTTGTATAAAAGATGCATACAATTATATGCTATTTTGTTATCTTAATTCAAATATCATTCCTGAATAAATTTCTCCCCCACACAATATTGTGTCGGTATAGACACCTTTGGATCCCACCCGCACCGGCACTTCGTATCCAAAATGTATCCTCTTATTTCAAAAAAAAATTCCGAAACAGAACTTCTTTTCTTATTGTATCAACGAAGTATGTATACATATCTTTTGGATGATCCAACTTGGAATAAACTTCTCCCACAAGATTTCCTTCAACAAACAGATAGAGTATCTAGCTAAACTATCATCTATTTTGTCCACAAATCCAAAAATATATATTTCAATGACCCTAATTAACTAATATATATGTTTCTCTGTCATTTTTCCGATGATTACTTAATTAAAAATTTACTTTCAGAAATTCATTTAAGATTGCTGAAGCAATTGTATCTTTAACCTCTGAAATATGTAAAAAAAAAAAAATCACAGGTATTTTTCCAAAATAAATACATTTTGAGAGTAAAAATTTATATTTGATTTAGCAATTTGTAAAATACAATTACCATTATTATTATAGTTAGTAGTTCTTTGTGCTTGGCCAATTATTATGAGGGAAAAGTTACTTTCTTATATAGTTTCTGAAAAAAAAATTTTGTTATCACCATTCAGAAACATTAATTATTTTCTTAAAATTTTAAAATAAATACTTTTTAATTTAATTATCAAAAACTTGATCGAACAGACTATTGAGTTTTATTTCCACCCGAAAGTGTGTCGGTATCCCACCCCACCACCCCGCGCCGAACTCGTAATAAAAATGTGTCCCTTTTCTCATTGCAAAGAATGAACATAATTTGGTTTATGTGTCATTCATGCAAAAGGTACTTTTTTTATTATTATTTGACCTATAGTTTTATAGGACGTGGGGTTCATGCGTTCGAATTGAACCCACCAGTTTTTTCGTAGATCATGTATTTGTATTAAAAAATTAAAAAAATATATATGTATATTAAATTATACATCCTATAAAATTTAATTTAGAACCTCCAAAGTACTCAATAACCCTGGCTCCGCTATGCGTATGAAACACAGAAGTCAATTGAAAGCAACGTTGAACTCTTCACTTATATCTCCAAATTAAAAGAACAGCAAGTTTTGATAGCCCAACTACTTTTAGTGTATATCAAATTTTAAGGAGAAAATTAATTATATCTAATTAGATATAATTAATGGTCATGTATGCAAATTTATCTTCACATAATTAAGTTGATAGACCAACTTATCTTCACATAATTAAGTTGATAGACCAACTACTTAGTGTACATCAAATTAAGGAGAAATTTCAGTCTAATCAGATGTATAATAAATAGTCATGTATGCAAATTTTTAGTCACATTATTAAGTGGATAGAGTTGTAAAGGAGACTTGAACTGTACATTTCGATTGATTTGAAAATTTGAGTAATTGAAGTTGTGTTTGAATATGCATTTATTTTAACAAAAGCAATGCACTTTTGTGACTGAAAGTCCCAAAAACTAGTTTGAAGATTATATTTTCAAAATCTAATCAAATTTTAATATTTGAAATCTTAAAATCTACTTCCAAAATGCTAAGTTAATTGCAGCTAATGCAAGGACTTGATCTCTTAAAAACTAGTGTATACGCACCTCCTAGATGACTCAGTTACAAAAAAAATAAAAATATTCTCCTAAAATTATTTATATTTAATCTAAATAAATATTATGGAAGGTGTAGGTGGGGATGGGGCTATGGGGTGGAGTGCACTACTAGAAACCACCATAAATAAATGAGAAATTTGTACTATATAACATGATTTTTCCTTCATTTTCCACCCGAACTAGCTCATTGAAAAAACACATGATGTCACATTTTCTATAGATCATGAGTGGTCAAAATGACCAATCATACATAAAAAATTGAAAAATATTTTATCCCGTACTGAACACACATCATAGTGTCAATTCCTCAAAAAGTTGGAGCTA